TAAAATATCACCTTTTTTTATAACCTGGAGTAGTGTTATTTTGGAATTTTCCTATGTTTCTCACAATTATATATTTTTCTTTGCTGTTAACATTTTTCTGTTTTAAATCTCATGATTTGGAATAAAGGCACATTTTTCTATTTTTTTTCAGTTACCTATAAACTAAGTATCTGTAATGTGTGTCTAAATATACCTGTATCTGTATCCATGTCTATAGAAAACAAGAGACAAAGAAGAGACTCCTTATTATCTCCCAATAATGTACAACAAAAAATTTTATCAAGCTTTATTGCTTTCTCCTTCTCCCTTACCCTTTGATTGTATTATTTATTTCAAATTTGTGTATATTTCACATCTGGGTGTATGCCACTTTATTTTCTTTTAGATTTTATGCAATAAAAAGAAGTGTAATAACCTGGATTCTCACTTTTGTCCAACATATCTTTAAATTAGAAGGTAGAATCATATTTCAAGGTTTGACTATGCATAGGCAATTGTTTGAGCTATTGGAACTCTGTGGACCCGTTTATCTTGAAGTGTTGAAGCTTTCTTTAGTTAATAAAAATGTGATATTTTGTTAAAGATGTTGAATAGAGGTTGAAAATTCCAACTCCTCTGCCTGCCATTTTATTTACCTATTATTAATATATTACCTCCATTTTCCTAGTTTCTCATCTTTTCTCAGTTTTTTTTAACCTGTTATTTTTATAGGTCTGGCTCTAGTTTTGCTATTATTACTATTGTTGATAATATACTTCAAAATTATATTTTTAAAATCATTAAGTATTCTTTTGGTGCCCAGATTGCTATCTTTCCAACAATCAATTGTCCTTTAAAATTTCTCTGTAATGCAAATAGGATTTTTAATATTCTTTATATTACTTTGTAGTTTTCTGTAGCAATTTATTTTGTTGTTTTGAGAGCTTTAGGACATTTATCTCAAATCTACAGTTTTGTGCTTCTTTTCCTGAGTCTTTTTATATAGAGGTCTTTTATATGGAAGGAAACTGGTTGAGTATCAATTCTGTTTCTGCCCTTTGACGACGAGCAACTTACGTAGCTTCCTTTGCATTGACTTTCTTACCTGTAAACTGGAAAAATCTGTTTCATATATTACCTGTTTGTCTTTTTCTCTAACCTGGATTGATTTTCTTGGGAGGACTTACCTATATTTGCTATAATTATATGCCTTTCTTTTTAAATTAGCATTTTAAATATAACTTAGGCATAATTTATCATATTTAGCATTATTTTCTTTTAAATTATTGCTTGTCTTGCTTGCCTATAAAGTAAATATCTGCCTATATATGTGTAACTCTGTCTATATCTGTTCATATATATCCATATATATGTGTGTGACTAAAAAATACAGAGCTTTGAATTAATTAACTTTGGCTTTTAAATGTTAATTTAATTAATCAATATTTTTTGAAAATGAATAAATTATTTAATAGCTATAAAGTGTTTAAAACAATACCTGGTTCATATGAACTGTGGAGTAAATTATTATTAATTATAATATTTAAACCTGCAGAGTTTTTTTCATATGGCTCTATTTGTGTTTTCTCTGTGTGCTCAAATTTATAGAAAGAGGTATTTTTTGTTTGATAATGGAAGCCTTCAATGATTGTATAAATCTTCCACACTTTATTCAGTATCAGAGAAAAAACAGTAGGAAGGAGATTATATGCATTGTGATTTTCAACATCCTAGAGATTCCATCATTTATGTAGAGAAGAGATAAAGTTGTAAGCAGATGATAGGGCCAGGGATTTCACTTTTATTCAGGCTCAACCTAATTTTGGCTGCCTTAACAGGCTGAATCCAGGAAGCCAAGGGACCTTCTTTCAAACCAGCCTTAGGGGACAGTGCTACTGGCCTTATTACTGTTAGCCTTTTCTCCCCAGGGCATCTTTTATTCCTGCTGCCTTGACCACTTACTTGATAGCGTTTCAGGTTTCATGCTCCCCACAGGTTCCATCATAGTCTGGCTATTGATTTTCAGGAACCATCACCCAAATCCAGGATGTATTAATGAGTCTGTGTGTGTGCATGAGTGTGAATGAAAGAGAAAGACAGAGGGAGACAAAGGGAGAGATGGGGAGAGAGAGACAGAGAGAGAGAGTTATAAAAATAATCTCTTTTATTTTCCTCCTTTTCCCTTTTTGTTTTTCAATTATGGGACTTATGACTGCTGGTCAGTGCAGTCACTTTGGTGCTTTCAAACCATAATATTTTATGGTCAGACTCCTACACTTCTCACATATTTGGCTGGGAATCACTTCCCTGGTCTTCAGTGATGATTTGATGATTTGAAAATTCCTCTTTCCACTAAGCGACTCACTTATGTAGGAAGGAAAAGAAGTTAAACAAAATTAGAATGACATCCACATAACATAAATCGTATAATTTCTTGAGTTTATTCCACAGTTTCTTGAGTTTATTTTAATTTGGCAAGGAAGTGCCTCAAGACTATGAAATTATACAGTATATATAAATAATTTAATGTAGCACTTGATAAAGAATTTATGCATAATCATTTTCACGATGAAATAACTTCAACCTCTACTAGCAGATTCCCAGAAGTATTTTAATTAATTACCTACAGATAGATTTAATTTAATTTTTATTTTTTAATTAAATTTTATTTTGCAAGTATTTGTTACTCAGTACAATTTTTTTCTTGTCTATTTTTATGAAAATATCAATAGGTAAAACAGCAGGATCTTCATCTTCTATCTACCTGTTATCTAGAGATTTATGTTCCCTTTCAAGTGTTAACTTTGAATACTTACACTTTAGAAAGTTCTTAATGATCATCTTCTCATTTATTCATTCATTCAGTTCATTCAACAAATATTTATTTGGCCCTATGTGCCAGGAACTTTTCTAGATGCTGCAAATAGAGCTGAGAAATAAATCCATGCTGTCATGCAGTTAACATTCAACTGGGAGCAAACAGAACATAAAAAGGTTATTACGTAATATGTTAATGGTAATAAGAGCTACAAAGAAGAAAGCTGCTTAGTGGCATGGGATATAGTGAGGGTGGATCAGGGTACTATTTTAGATAAGGAAGCATTTGAGCAGAGATCTATATGAAGTCATGAAAGATTCAAATATTTTTTTTTTTAAGATTTTTTATTTATTTATTTGACAGAGAGAGACATAGTGAGAGCAGGAACACAAGCAGGGGGAGTAGGAGAGGGAGAAGCAGGCCTCCCGCGGAGCAGGGAGCCCGATATGGGACTTGATCCCAGGACCCTGGGATCATGACCTGAGTCGAAGGCAGACGCTTAACGACTGAGCCACCCAGGCGCCCAAGATTCAAATATTTTAAGGATAAAAATTCAAACCATAGGAAATATACATGTCAACACAGTGAGTTGGAAGCATGATTGGCAAATTCAAGGGTGTGAAAGGAGTCCAGTGACTGAGGCCCAGTTAATGAAGAGAGGAGAGGTACGTCAACAAGGTAGCCCTAAGCATAGTCAGGCAGACCCTTGAATGCCAGGATAGGGGCCTGAGTGAATTGTGGACTTGGGGAGGGTTTTTACCAGGAGAGTGATATGTCTCTATTTCCGAATGATTACTGCTGTTCTGAAAACAACCATGCCATAACATGAGCTTGAAAAAATTGATGACTGAGAAGAGCCTAATTCTAAAATATACATTAACTGTGCTTTGTCCAACATTTGCTCCATATCACATCTGTTCAGCAGGAAGCTGGATGATATTAATCACCTTCCACCCATATTCTTTATTTATTGTTAACAAATAATTTATTAATAATTTACTTTTATACCTTATTAAAAGAAAATAACTATAGGTAGAATATATTTTATTTTTTTCTAAAGTTTAAGTGAAGGACATTTACTAATATGTTTTTCTAATTATTATATAATAATCAACATAACAAATGCATTTTCTAACTCTAGAAAATATATTTTTTTTATACACTGAACAATTTTCTGAATTATAAGAGCACTGGTGTGACTTCTTTTTAGTTCATATTTTGTGGTATAGTTTTCCCCCTTTCCTTTTTAACAACTCTCTGTGCTAAATCTGTTTTTATGGCTTAATTGATTTTAGTTGTACCAAAGTAAAAATAAATAGGCACAGTTAATAACTTGGGCACAAGGCTGTCAGTTATGCTTACCAGGCACAAAGTATTAAATAGAACATAATCTCTCTCTTCAATGTACTGATGTGTAGTAGAAAAGAAAACACATAATACGGAGTTATTATCATAACAGTTTATATACAGTGAAAAATGTAAGCAATGACTACATTGCCTAACTTTTTTTTTTTTTAAAGATTTTATTTATTCATTTGAGACACAGATACAGAGAGAGAGAGAGCATGAGCAGGGGGAGAGGCAGAAGGAGAGGGAGACGCAGGCTCCCTGCTGAGCCAGGACCCTGATGTGGTGCTTGATCCCAGGACCCTGGGATCATGACCTGAGCCGAAGGCAGACGCTTAACCATCTGAGCCACCCAGGCGCCCTGCCTAACGGTTTTTTGTGGACTTACTGAGATGATCCTCTCTTTAAAATAGAAATGTAATTTTTAGAATTATTCAATAATATCCCTTTTTCTTGTTTCCTAAAGATAGAATATTTCTTCAGAAAGAATACGCATATTTCTTCAGAAAGAATACACACATCACACACGCTTTCAAAATGTACATATATTAGAAATATACTCTTTAACTAGACATATCTGTTAGTAAAACTATTTGAAGTGTTTGTTTTCTTGGCATAATTCCAGGTTGTTTTAAATGTCCATTATTAAGGCAATTGAGCTCTGACATGAAAGACAAATAATAATCTCAATAAATTTGTCTGAATAGTGAAAGATATTGCTCATCAATGAAAAGATATCTTAGAGAAAATTCCCAGTAATAGTGAAGTTATTTAATGAATGAAATGTGAAAGGAGAACCTACAAAAGTAAGCTTCTTTTTTTTTTTTTTTAAAGATTTTATTTATTTATTTGACAGAGAGAGACACAGCGAGAGAGGGAACACAACCAGGGGGAGAGGGAGAAGGAGAAGCAGGCTTCCCGCCGAGCAGGGAGCCCGATGCGAGGCTTGATCCATGACCTGAGCCGAAGGCAGATGCTTAACGACTGAGCCACCCAGGCACCCCAAAAAGTAAGCTTCTGCCACAAATTGAATTGCTTGGAATATTATTTGCTCTAAATCACACTTGCAAATATAACCATAATCAATAAATATAAATAACTCAGAGAAGTTTTGTAGTATTCTCAGCTTAAATTCTTCGGGACTTGTACTCTCTTGAAAATTGATTCTGTGTTTTTTGGTTTTGTTTTGTTTTTTAATGTGTGCTCGGTTGACTGGTTTTATTATTTTGTTTTCTTTTTTAAAGCAAACCTGAGCCCCAGCTATTGCAGAGTCTATAATGCTTTTTGCTTATATATTCATTTGTTTCTACTTCTATTTCTCCAAAGAGGACTATAACATAATAAATGAAATAAATCTAAGGGTAACAGGAATCTCTTAAATACAGGAAGATAGGATCACATTTGTTTGTGTGTTTATTTTGAAAAATGCATTTATCTGCTTGCTTTTATTTGCATAAAAGTAAATCCTGCTTGTTTCTTATATTTCATCTCTTATTTACATGGCTTCTTAAGACTGCCTAGAAGAGATATAGCTATTCCACACTTTGCATATTATTTTAAGGATAAGCAACATTGTAAGAGAGCAATATATACTATTTCTCTATCTATCCAGGTAAGTTGGGTTACAGTGCTTCCCAAACTGAACTACTAGTAAGAGTGAGCCCTTAATGACAGTTTATTATGATTTAAGCATTGGGCTAAACATTTACATGCTTGAAATTAATAATATTTTTCAGCACCTCAAACAACTAAGTACTACCATAGTTTTCATTTTACCAATAGGGAACTTGAGGCTCAAAGAGGATTTGTAATTTTAAAGATCACACCACTGTTAAGGGGTATGCGTTCTATACTATTAACTGTTTTTGCCTTTTTGTGGAAGTATAGCTGTTTCTCATTTTGAATGAAACCATACCTTACGTGAGTACTGCTGACTCTTTTTAGAGCAAGTGTTTATGCTCTTCAAAGCAGAGAATCTGAGTTGGTAACGTCGCTGCCATGACCAGTTGGCTGCCTTGTAGTGGTGCTCTTAGCGCTCTTCACAGAGTCTTCTCAGAGATGGTGACTTGCCTGAGAGCCAGCTCCTGTAGTTTTTGCTAAATTCTTACATGTTTTCTGGCCTAATACATTGAGGTTGGGGTAATAGGTCTATTTCTCCCACTATGTGAGACGTAGCCTGAAGGGCTTCCGAAGAGAAACGTTTGAATCTACCATCCAAATTCGAAACTTGATAGTGCTCTCTAGTGGTAGGCTTTTAGAAAAATTTCTTTGAATGGAATACAATTTGGATAGTTTATTATTTTTAATTATTTTTAGGTTATTGTTTACTTTTGAAAACAAATTTTTAAGGTGCCAGCAGGGCGATCTAAACAGTGGGAAAAAAAAGATGTAAGCATTGAGTTTTGGGAATTTGGTCACAAACCCAACCATTTTTTTATATAGGGATTGCTAAGAATCTTTTTTTATTTTTTATTACTAAGAATCTTTCAAGAAACAGTGCCTAATCTAGGGAATCTGTGATTATCAATAAAAGGAAAGAATAGGTGGGAACCAAATATTTAAAGATCCAGTTCAAAATACAAAATATTTGTATTATCTGTGGCATGGAACTGATCAGAAGAGAATGTATCAAGAAAGGAGTCATAATCATTTGTGATGATGTACAAAAGTCAAGTAAAATGATATGTAAATTTATCCTTTGCATGTAACAAAAGTAATAGATCATCTTAGTGAAAACTGTACTGACCAGTGAAAACATGAAGTGAAGTAAGTTGGAGGTGATGATATGGTGATAAAAGTTATAGAAAATGCTTTACAGATTTAACAGATGAGAAGAAATGGACAAGTGTGTAGCTGAAGAGGAATGAGAGATTACCAAGTTTTTATTCATAAATTTAACTAATTATTTAATGGGAGAAATTTGAGCATATTTAAAAGAACATGGAATTTATTCACAATGTTGAACGGGAAAAATTGGTGAAGGCTTCATTCAATATAATAAATTCTTATAAATCTTAAAATATTAAAAATATATGCCATATTTTTATGGGTATAAGCAAATCTATTTTAAAAATAAGAATGCAAGCCTTAAATTTAATTACATGGTCCTTTTTGAGGATAGAGAGAAAGGAATTAATTTGGGTAGGGACACAAAGGTGGCTTGAATTCTATTTGGAATCACTTATTTTTTTAAACTATGTGTATGTACAGAATTAGTATGCTATTGGACTGGTAATGATCCACTACAGAGGAAATGTTTACATATGAAAGTAGACAGTCCATGACATAGATTTTGGGTTGTGATTTAAAATGTAATGGAGAAAATCTAGCTATAGCATTTTCCTTTATCATCTATAGAGACTACATTCACACCCTCTGAGGGGTGCTGGGGGGCAGTTGGGGACTAGAGACTAAGCATGGATTTGCATCTTATGCTTGACAAGTCTACACAATCATGTTATAATATATGACCTAAAATAGTTAAATAAGAGAGCTAAACTATACAATGCTGATGATTTATTTTCAGTTTCTTCAGGGTATGCTGAAACTATTCTTTTGCTACTTAGAAAATGACCTCTTCAAGAGAGCCACCCACTACCAAATAAATTCATTTGAGTAACTCTAGAAAAAAAAATGATGTAAGTATTAAAAAAATAATAATTGATGCTAGGCCTAGTAAGAAATTTCATGATGCAGGCTTGGCATCTGGGACATTGTGATGATCAAAAAAAATATTTAAAACTACGGGCGTGCCTGGGTGGCTCAGTCAGTTAAACATCCGACTCTCGATTTTGACTCAGGTCATGATCTCAGGGTTGTGAGAATGAGCCCCTTGGGGTTTTATTCCCAGTTCCAAGCCTGCTTGGGATTCTTTCCCTCCCTCTTCCTCTGCCTCCCCCTCCCAGTCTTCTCCCCGATCTCTAAATAAATAAATAAATAAATAAAAACATTTAAAACCACAAAGAGTTCATGAATATGGGCTCAGAAGGCAGGAGAAATGTTTCTCTCATTTCTTCTTTCTTTCTTGTTGAATCAGAAAGTTTGAAGGGAAAACAGAAATAACTTTGATGAATTCTTACTTCAGTGACTTAGTTTGATTGAAACTAATGTGGACACATAATTCTCTCAGCATCAAATCAAACAATAACAATAATTTTTAGAGGAAATATTAGAATAATGCATTCTTTAGACAGAGTGTTAGACAGACTGTTAGACAGACTGCTTTAAAATCTTAGCTCTGTCACTTCTTAGCTCTGTAACCTTAAAAGGTTTACTTCTCCTACCTGTGAATTGATTTTCTTATCTGGAAAATGGAGATAATAATGCCAACATGATAGGGGTATTGTGAGAAAGAGGTCATAAATAAATAATGTTTGGCATACAGCAAAAACTAACTTTTACTAGAAAGCTTTCTTCTTGCAGACATTCCACCTTCACTTTATCATTTTATCTTCACAATAACGTTCTGAAGTATGTAGGCTTTTGTGCCAGTTTGTTTTTTCCTGCCCTTCCTCCCTACCTGCCTCCTCTCATACATCCCCCTCTCCTCCTTGCTTTCACTCCTTCTATCAGCATGTAAAGAGCAAGCCACTATGTTAAGCCCCAGGGCTACAAAGATAAATAGGACATAAAACTGCCTTAGTGTTCATCAAAATCTAGGAGGAAAGAATGACAGAATGTTTGAGAACACTGAACACAGAATCCTCTATTGCTGCACTTTAAGGTCATATGCCTAGCAAGCGCAAAAAGAGGTGAAGAGTTCATGGGCTATAACTTTCAGCCTTGGGCCCTTGTAAACCTCAAATATAGGTTACTCAGGGGTTTTGGTTTGTTTATTTTGTTTTGTTTTATTCTTGCTTCCCCAGCCCCCGTTAATCGGGATACTTCTATTACATCTCTGAGCAATAGCTGGTGCGGAGGTTAGATTACATTAAAATTATTTTTAATTCTTAACATATTTGAGAAATACATTTTAGCACATTGAAATTTGGATGCTATACCATCTTCCAGAGTTTGTAGTAAAGTGTGAGCTGAATTCCATTTGCTTGAAAAGATAACTTATTCTGCTCTTTAAGATTCATCTTTCCAAGCATCTTTTATTCAGTTCAACTGAAGGACAGAACGGAATGAAACAGATAATGAGCTAGCAGCGTATAAGACTAACCTTTTTGAATAATAATAATAAAAAAAAAGTACATTTGCTCCCTTAGGTTATGTTTCAACAGAAAAGATACGTATCCATCGCGTCAAGAGGAATTAAGGGGTCTCTAAACATCAAAATGAAAGATTCAAAAGCACGTTATTATTATAGGGGAAAGAAAATATCTGGCTAATGTATCTGTAGGAGAGAACTGTGTTACAAAATAAATAGGAAAACTGGGTACTACAGTGGTTTTAATGAATTTAGGGATTACCATAGGACAAAAGGCAACAATTAATTGATGATCTACCTGACAACTTTTAACAGTTTTTTCCCAATACTATATAGAAATTGATCAAATTATTGAGATGAAAAAGACCAGCAAATGGCCTACAGCCAAAAATAGTGAATTCCTTATACAACAACACCCCCAAACAGGGATATGTTTAAATTTCAATTGAATACATAAAGGATTAATGTAGTAGGTTGACATAAACCATTTAAGACAAAAATCTACAATTATCTATATAAGAATTATTTAATTGGGGTAAAAAAATGACATTTTAAGAGTGGCAGTCAATTTTCCCATAACTGCCACATCTCTAGATTTTCATTATGTAGGTAAGTCATTAAGTTGGAGTAATGTGGCATTCTATAAATGTGTTTAAGAACTAACTTAGTCCCAAACTTTTAAATATCTCTAATAAATTGGATTTTCTTAACAAAGTACTGACACTATAGTCTTAATACTTAATTGTGTGATAACAAAATACAGCCCAAAAAGGTGACTTAACAGTATCTCTCTTTAAGATACTCAGCATTATAATTATTAATTCTTATGGAATGATTTTATGGAAGGGGGATTCCCT